CCTTATACCTAGTAGTGCAATAGATTAATCTCAAACAGATTGCTATAAGAAGATAATCATTTTAAGTGATTATCAATGTAGTACAGTAGTTAGCTGTTGAGTTGTAAACATTTACAAACGAGAAATATCAGATTTAAGATTAATTTCACATAAATTAGTAAAGAGAATACAAACATTTGACATGCCTCAATTATTCTAGAACAGTGATTTTACTACCTATTCAGATTTTAAAAATTAGTTTCATTACTACTTTTTATTATATCATTAGAACGATAGGTCATTTTTAAGCAATGCCGTAATAATACAGCAGCGATTAAATACATGTCAATAGTACAGTAGCAACGTTCATAACTTAATGGCTTACGTACTAAAATGATCAGCTTAGTTATCGTTACCTGCAGTACATCATCCTACATCCACAATTGCCTAGTAATGTTTTATACGTTGCATTTACAATGTACTACGATATAATAATTTTTACTATACAATAGTGTTCATTAATGCTATTCATCACATTAAAACTTTTCTGAATAATTTTAATTGGTTGAGACCCAGATAAGATTAATCAATCCCTTATACTGGATTCAGGATATTTTCATATTTAGTCACGATTCTAATTTTAATTCCAATACAGAGTGAATATCGCAGCCCATGATGGTGCTTATTCAGTTATTTCAAGGCTTAAATGGCCAACAGAATGGGAATCACGTTGTGATACAAGATTGTTCTGATCCTTATACTTATCCACTGCCGTATACCAATAGCTGTGAATTCGTTCTTGCACGTTGTGGCTCGGTTCCTGCTCTTTTTAATTATTTGCAATTCGTGTTTTGTGATATGGAACATCAACAGGTAATGCTACAGTATATACGGTATAACTCAATTTTACATAGTCGTATTTGTGTACGCTTATATCTGAATATAGCATCCCAACATGTTACTTGTCCTAAAGCTTAAGCTCATAAAACTTGTGCTAATCGTCTTTACGTTTTGTCATTGATCGCTGATAGATTTTGGCGTACATAATACTAAGCTTTTGGCTCCTCTTACTCATCTCTCTGATGGCAACAACGGTAATGCAGTATCTTTATTCGTTTGATTCCAGAATTTTACCTTGCTTAGCTGTTGCTATACTATCTACCTAGTTCCTTTGATACTATACATGGAATGCTAACTTACTGCCTACCGTAGTTTTTATTACGCTAGGTATGAAAATTAGTATGTAATACAGTGTACAACACCAGCAATGAAAATCGTAAAAATTAATCACGAAATTCTAAACAATTAAATGATAGCTATTTTCTGCCATTGTACTATAAATAGTATATATAGACTCAATAATCATAACACTCTTTTAAAAGTTGCAGTCAATCTCTGTGTGAAAGTTACCACAGAAAGAATTTATCCATCAAAATAAATTCTAGAAAGAATTTATCCATCAAAATAAATTCTATCTACCGATTACTAGTAATTATAATTCAGTAACACATGTCATATGACTGAATAAGTTAACAAATGCTATCCTTTGTCAACTACTAATATTAGGCCGATAACTACTTTGTTCCTCCTTTGAACTTCCTGTCAGAAAAAGTAAGCTAAATTGAAACAAATATATAAATTTATTTATTTTTGCTGTGCAATTGATCACATTGAATAGTTCCCAGTCCTAACTTTTCAACAATCCCAGCTATTGTATGACTAAAAATTGTTTCGAGTTATGAAGATACCTGACGTAACTATAGTGTAACAGTACAATAAATTTAGAGCAATATTTTGATATCCTACTATTACGTTATGAACTGGTTCTCAATTCGAGATGGTTATTTCGTAAATAAAACAAATACCGTACTAACGGAACAATTACCAAATATTTTTTTTAATGTTTATTATTTATTAATGTAAATAGCTGAAATTATCTCCAAGCATAGCGGGAATAACTTTGTTAGCTATTGGAAATGGTAAGTAAAGAATAATAGATATTGTTAATGTAGGATAACTCCTGGATTTTGTATCGGTCTTTCTGCAGGCTTTCAACGAGTTACTAATTTGCTAAAATTAAACCATGTATTGTATTTGAGAACGTTACCAAGGTATAAAAATTTTTATCTTGACTAGGCGCTCCTGATGTATTTACTGCATATGCAGCAATAAGAAAAGCGCACGATTTTCCTCTGGAATTAGGGTTAGAATCCGTATGACCATTACATTACATAGACAAATTTAATTCAATGTTGTGAGATTCATCTCTCTCCGAAATATAACACAAAAAGAATAAATTTTAGTCGATATTATGACTTTTGAGACAACACTGATAACTACTTTCCAAATTGTAGAGCTTTACTTGGGGCTTCAATATTTATATCAACAGTCGTACTTGGGTAAGTATTCACAAACTTTGGCTAATTTTTCAAATATACATAAATATCACGAAAATGCAATACTTTAAAACTAACGATCCTGCTGATGATCCGCAATTTATGTTTATGCAATTAGCATTGTGTAGTTGCATCATTAGTGGTATCATGAATAGTAATCTTGATATTGAATAAAATTAAGTAAAACTGTGAATTACTGCATCTAGAGCTGTGATTATGGTATCGCGTGTGGAAAGAAGTACTATAAGTAAGATTACTTATTAAATAGCTTAATAAGCTTATAGACGATACAAATTTCGATTAATAGGCGTTGCTACTTTATTAACTAGATCCCGTAGATTTTTTTCGCGATGTCATTGCTTATATGATCGTAGTATTGGCTGTTATTATTGCGTGTCTGGACGGTGCGGTATGTGAATATGTGATAAAGTGCGTTTTTAATTTTTATTGCAATTTCATCTGACTCGGCATTTTATTTTATAGATTTATATATACGAATCTGTTATAATTCTACTACTCTACATTTTATATATAATAGTAGTTGTGATAATTTCGAAGAAAAAGGTAAGAAAATTTATCGTTAAACATCTTATTATATTTGAATCGTCATGGACCAAATAATTTTATAACTATATATATTGTTAGATTGCTTGTAGAGCAGAACCCGGTTTAAACGAACGCTCTCCATTATTGCAATCAGGTATGCTAATCGTATTATTTTTACATATTTGTTCAATTGAAAATCTATTTCCTAGTTTTCTGTAATAAATTTATAAATACGTACTACCAATTTAGGTCCAGATAGCTACAGCGAGGATGATGATATTGTATATTTAGACGATAATCTTACTACGAATTTACCCGGACTATCATGGGTATCACTGACAAATTCTATTTTATACCAAAATCTCTCGTCATTCTATGCTTTATTAAACCTGTCATAAAAATAATTATTACAGCCAAGCAAATCGCACTTCCTCGTTAAAATTCAATGGCTATTCGAATGGCCATTTTCTTTATTAAGATGGATGTCAATTCCCGTAGCTGTTAGTTCTTAATTTCTATTTAAATTTTTCAAACAAGTTTTTCAAAGGAATTAAATGATTAACAGTAAATTAATTCATATTACAATCATTCACCATTTAGGATGGTAAATGGGACCCTTGGAGACGTTTCTTTGTAATCATTTCACCTGCACCAATGGCATATGTTATATTATTAGCTGCAAAAGGTTTTGAAGGATTTACCCTACCTGTAGGGCATCTACCTCTATGGATATTTATACTCATATTGGGTATGTTTATAGGCGTATACAGCTATTACACTACAGCAGCTACTAATTCATGTGTTGGTTATAACAATGCATATGTGTCAATACAGGTGCTGGAGCTTCTGTCATTCTATGGATTACCACTTCATCTCGTCATCCGCCACCAAGCTGGTTCCAGTTTGTTCTGATGTTACTTGCCTTTGCGATGTCCATTGTCTGGTTGCAATTACTTCCGAATGAAGTTGTGGCTGTAACCGAATCGTTAGGATACACTTTTAACATAAAAACAGGTCTGAAATGTGCCCATGAAAATTATGTAATTATTTTGTTAAGTGTCCGTACCAATATGCAATCGTGACATACATATAATGTTTACTGTGTCTTGTTTGGTATTGTGTAGTGATTTTGGGATTTACAGTACTAGCAATTGGTAATTCCTTGGGTGATTTAGTAGCGGATACAGCAGTTGCAAGAGCTGGAAAGCCTGCTACTGGCGTTGCTTCTTGTTTCGGTTCACCGCTATTAAATGACGTTCTAGGTCTTGGTATTTCATTAACGGTACGTAGTCATTTTGATACTTATAGTTTGATATTACCAGGCACTATTGCGAAATAGTAATCCTAGATGAAGCAGGTATTTTTTGATTCTGTATATTTGTATTATTAGGCTTACTGCATCCAGAACTATCCTCATCCGTTAGTATTTGATATAAATTCGGAGGATTTTGTAAAGGTAACCATTCTACCTTTTATATGTAATAATCCCATGAATTAACATTAATGTTATGATTGATAGGTCAAGTTATCATGGATTTTTCTTGGAATAAGCTTATGTGGGAGTGCAGTAGTATTTCCATTCTTTAAATATTCACCTCCAAAGTAAGTACGAAAAGGTTAATGTTGCTTAAAAATGCTAATATGCTTACATCATAAAAGCAAACCAAGATTTAGATAGTAATATGCGCATATACGCGTAGTTACTTTAATTATAATCACATCAATATTCTTAATGTGTAAGAATATCTAGCATTTATTATATTATCGTAAAATATATACTATATATTTATAAATTACTTAAATAGCATAAGAGATGATTGCTAACAGTCAGGAACCTTGAATAACACAAAATTAGCAAGAAAACATGAGATTAATTTAAATATGGTCACTCTCTGGATCTTTTCCAGTAATAATTCTATCTATTATTGATAATGTCCCTTCGGGGATTTCTAATGCTTATTTACTACCTTTCAATGATTTTAGGGCTTACGGAATTATTCTCATCTATTTTTACATTGTCTTCGTAACATTCTCAATTCTGAATGCGGTGGGAGTTTTACCGCTTCATTTTTAATATACTGTACTTGTAATCCGGAATCTTTATCACAAACTGTGAAAAAAATGACGCTCATGATAAATCATGTTATATATCTATGAAAGTAGTGTTTTAAGGTCATAATTTTTCATAAATCTTTCTATTCTATGAAAATCATGTTACAGAAATTGATATGCCGAAGAACTTAATATGTACTACAAAAGAGAATGTAAATAATCAATTCTGAATTATGATTTCCATCCATATTTGTTTTTGCACTATTTCACATTTGCGCATTCTAATTATTGGCGCCTAGTAGCATCGGACATGTGCAAAGTGTTTAGTAGTTATGAGCAGTTAAATTTAGTTCCAATAGCTCTTCCTGCAAAACCATTTACTACGAGATTCTGTTTATCATCTTGTCAATTTTAGTTTTTACTAGAACATTGTTTGATTCGGAATAATTTTCAATCTTAAACATGTAGATAAAAATTTTAAGGTAATTTTCGCCTTCCTGTGAGATGTGACAATATTATTTTTACGCGTAATAGCACAATCTTTATAACTAGGGGTAGATTTACCGTAAAAGAAATGGTACTAATGTATTACAATGTAATGATAGATAAAGTTTATCTTGAATCTATTGATAGAGTTAAGTATTGTGAACCAATATGTAACATTTAAATTTAATGTTACTTCTAACAAAAATATGTTTCTAAATATGAAAATATATAAATTGTTGCGATTGCTTGGAAAATTATTAACAGTAATTTTATGCAAGGTTCTATTTCTTATAAAGTACAAAAGGTAATAAGATAAAGTCCACGATCGAATTATAGAATAAATTCGTGAAAATTGTCTATTAATTGAAATAGAGTAACCAATTATAATTTGTAATAAATAAATATCACATGATTTATGTCCACTTTAAGCTCCAAGAATCGATACAGCAGATCGAAAATTAAAAGATACTTTTCAGTCATTTTTTACAGTTTTTGCGACTAACAAAACAAAATAGAGCTACATGGACATGCTCTTGATTAGAATAGCAGCAACTTTATTTGCGTATCAAAACCTCTGCTTATAGAATTAGCGAGGTAATCTCTCAACTTCATACTGGACTCTTCCAAATTTATTACAATCATGATATCATAGTAATAATATACTGTATTCATTTAGAGGATTTTTCCTCTACAACAGTGTTAAAGTAAATACGTAATATGCTACTGCCATGCTTCTCTTTTTTACATAGTGGCCCCTGATACTACAGTATATATATATATATATATATGTACGTTGGATTATATTATGAGAAAGGTGCTGCGGAAAATCTTTGTTACTATATTTTCATATCGTACTCTGATTATTTATCCTGTAAGGTGTACCTAGCTCTAAAAAATACTTCTAGTAACTCAAGCTTAATAACTAAAGGAAGGCTTTCGAATGATAATGCCGATTTCGTGCAATATTAATATAGCCTATGTATAGCAAATAATCTACAGTCTTCATTGAATATGAAATTCTGGCGGTTAAATTATTCATGCAATCATCACTGCTAAATCTCCGTATCATCGATACTGACATAATTTACAGAATGGTTTTCTCGGCAATATAAAAAATGATATCATACTGTTGTTGGTGTATACTATAGGATCAAATTCCGTCGTCGGTAGAAATTTGGGAAGGCTGATGTTATATTGTCTGCAGTGATAGCTCTCTGCAATGCAGTAAATATACAGTTTTATATAGATTCTATCATCAAGATGTCGCACTTACAATGATCTAGAGAAGAAAAGCCGAAATACAATAATATAGAAATATTAATCACTGTATTGAACAAATGCTTATCCTTTATTGATTAACATTTTAACTGACAGGTACAAAGTACAGAGTTAAATGCATAAAGAATAAACAAATAACTCATTAATGCTAATTTCGATCAGGTTAGGTACTAAATACTGTAAGTGATCACTTGAAGTGTACAATCGTTATTCTACATTGGTTGAATGTCAATAATTAAGTTGAAAGAAGTTATTAGACTAAAAAATTAATATAAACTATTACGATATGAAGAACTTAAATTTTAAAACGAACGATGAAAAAACAAATTTAGAATTTCTCTATATAATGATTAATCAGCATCATAGTTATTTCAGTAAATAAGATCAAATAAATTAATGCATTGAATAATCATCGATAGAATATTATTATAATAAATTACGATATTGCAAAGGTACGATCATAAATTATTTATATAACTTAATACATCGATATGAGTTAAGATCAAATATTGTAATCACATTTTAGATACTACCCGGCTTCAGGTATGGTCAGAATTACCAAATAAAACACTATCTTGTATTACATCAAATTTTAAAATTGATGTACGGTAAACGGCTATTGATTATTAATCTCTAAAGCTAATGTATATCAATTTCACATGGAATATTAACTATTTGCTTCACTAAATTGAATTCATTATCGACTTTAGTTAGTGAAATTATGACGATATGGTAGTTTCTATGAAGTTAAAGAATTTGTAAAAAAAAGAATACTTGTATGTTTCATTTAAAATTTACGCAGTAAATACCAGATCAAGTTTTAAAAGGAGTATAACAGTAATATCTATGAATTTATCCTAATTCTTTTCTCATTCCATATTTGGCTAAAGATATTTAACTTTATAAATTGCATCCATAATATCAGTAGAAGTTAAGATCACTTGTATTTAAATATTAGCATCTTTATGGCTAAATTACGGCTATAGCAATGTTTTGACTTTTCAAACTAGGAAAGATATATTCGAAATCAATAAAACAGATATGCATTCCGTAAAAGAATATTTTTGGAATTCAGTGTGAAATACCGTTGGTTATTTTTTCTTGCCTTTAATTTTTACTTTCGATTCAGGCTGCAGAATAATCAAATGCAATGCCATATTAAATTAAAAAATAATATAAAGTTTAAGATAGTAACAAATTTATAAGTAATTTCTGTCGACGTAGGTATTTAGGCAGGTTATTATGGTATATGAATTTTAAATTACGCAAATAGAAATATCAAAGAAATTACCTTTAGTATGCTAAATGAGCATAACAAGTCTTTAGTCACATTCATAGCTGCAGCAGCGTTATCAAATTCTCCACAGTAATTTGGAGCGCTAAACAGTGTTACTAGCTATAAAAATATAAGAAAAGGATACTTAAAAGGGAGAAGATTAGGCCCTGATAAAGTAAAATTATATCACATACCTTTCTCTTATGAAAGAATTGATATCCATCTTCTACAACCTAACGATTTTTTGTTGATATAACAGTAAATTTTAACATACTTACAAATACAGCCAATAATATGATATTATATAGAAATGTATTAGATCACTTATCTAATATCCAACCGTAAGAGTACACTTAATGATGCAATTAAGATTATAATTCGAACCTGATGAGCTCTACAGATTAGACTACAATCATGCTTGGTTAAAAATTCTTCGACAACATCGCCTCCAAATGTAAATGAAACACCACGATCATTTTCTCCCCAACCAGTGATATCCTAAGGAGGAAGAGCAATTATTAGCCAAAATTTATATAGTTATATAATACCCAATTTCACTGTTCCAACAAAATAATTTTAAAAGCTCGCTTTCTCTATGAGAAACTGCTAAGAATCAACAGTACGAATAAAGACATTAGAGATAGACTTACTTCGTCTGGATCTGACCACAGTAAATCGCAAACTAAGCCGTGATCAGGTACATCTAGTGGTCTTTCTGTTTCGACAATCTAATATGACATTAAAACGAATTACTACTATACAATTTCACATAATTTTATCTGTTAGAAATACATATGCATATATTAAGCTGACGAAAATGATTATAATGGATGCACGCATTATAAATTTCTTCTCACATTAGCTACGGTAGAAAAAGCCTTTCTATAATATCCTTCAAATCTTGGATAAGTAAACACTTTCACTAACTTACTTGCTCAAGTTCATCTAACGCAGGCGATAATCCACCATGAGTACAAAATATTGTGTTTTCCACTAAAGCGGCTAATTTATAAGAAACAAGCATGTTTTAGTCAATAACAATATTTAATTCCTATGGTATGCAATAGCTCATAAGCTGATTTTTCTCTAGTTCATCGTGAGTTTCTATATTGTAAAATTAACTATCTAGCGCAAAGTAATCCGTTTAGATAACTACTGTATGGAATCAAAAGAAGACAGATACATTTAACTTGTTATTCGTAACCTGATAGACAGACAGAGAAAATAACAGCAGCAAAATAAAACTGATTAATAATTTAACGTATGATTTGTAGTTCAGGATGCTAGAACACATTAAAGACTATTTTGCATCAAAACAATTTCAGCTAAATGCTTAATATGAAGCAGATTGAATGATACCTTGCAAATATAAATAAATTTAAGTTAATACTAAGTATGAATTTATCGAATTTATATAAAAGCTTTTTTTGATAAAATTCATTTATCTTGATATTTTAATACGAAATCATATTCGCGAAGATCTAATGTCATATCATACTTTCAACACACTGAGGATAGCTAGCCTAAGCGTAATCTTTAGATTAACGTTCAAATACATCTTTTTTAAGCAGATAGAACTTTATCTTGTATAAAATGAATCTTAGCTCGGTATCAAATATGAATCACACAAAGTGAATGGTTGCATTAGTAATTGCCTAAGGATTTCTCAACGTTATCGAATAGAAGATATTAGAATGAAACTGATTACTGCTGTCGTTGATAGTTCGTATAGAATTTGAAGGAAGATATTAATAACCCTAATTAATTAATATGTTGCCAACTGTAAAGAGAACATCAAACTGTATCAAAGTCTTGCAGTACATCAATTTTCTAAGATATCGGAACGACTAATCCTGTAACATTTAAAATTTTCGATCTAGCAGTTGCAGTATTCTCAATAATGATATTTTATGTTTTCACTGATAAAAAATATTGCAAGCTTAATTTTCACTTGATAAAAAAATAAGGTTTAGATTCATTATATATGATCAAGATCGTTTGAGTATTTCTCGTAAAGGCATTAAATTTTAAATGGCATCATTGTATTCTATTACTGCTATTATACTAATTTCTAAAAATTCGACATCTTGTTTAGATGGTAGCAATTATATCTAGAATATGAATACGGAAGAGATTTTTACATCATTTTAAAGAGAACAGAACATGAAGGCTTAATCTCATCATGTCGATCTATTTGTACTTCTTTTACCCTTGAAGCAATTATTCAGCTAAAACTCAGACGATTAAAATGCCGGTAGAACTTTAATAATTATTAGCTGGGACCAATTAATACTACTCCGATGTTAATGTTTATCAGCCTACACTTGGAGATCCTACAAGATTGTCAACTGCAAGTACTGTATAAATTTTGCAAATTATTGATTGAGGTTAATGCATAGAAGTTAAGAGTATTATTGCTATTGGTTAGGTTAGGCTATGTAGTTATATAATATCTACTACTAAGAAGGTACACTATTAGCTTGTTACTAATAATGATTATCCCATATATCTTTTGGACGTCTGAGTTCTAGTGAATTATAGGTGTTGGAGATCTCTATTAGTATGGAAGAGACTTAAATCTTTCTAGTTAATCACGCAGTATATAATGTTGAGAAGGACAGTGTTAGCTATTAACTACTAACAATAATCCAAAATATCATCGTGTATATCAAATTCTGGTGCATTGTAAGCCCTCGATAGCTATATTAACCTTGAATTGACTAGGAATTTTCGTTTAAAAATCATTTTGCATATTCAGACTCTAATATATTATTGATATTGGATATCCAGTTTATAAAAAATCTATTCATATCTATATAGCTATCGATCATATTAATAGGTACGGTACAGCTAATAATTAATTGCAATTATCTGCTACACTTTTCCTTTTATATCCGAACTTGATCATATTAATGTTCGATACTCATTTGGTAAGAAAGCAATTCGATAGCCCTTTAGTATTAACATCGTAGACACAAATCAATAAGATCTATATTAGAGATACCTAAAGTATAGACTAGTTCTATCGATATGTAGTATTACAATAGCACAGCTTGTCAGCAATCGGTAACATTGAGGGTTATTATTGGTAATATGAAAAGTTAGCAATAATAATCAAATTAGTAACAAGTCAGCGAAAATCACTACAATGTCTTTACAATATGTCGTTAAATATATCTCTAGGTGATAATAGTATGCTTGTATTATTTTACAGAATGGTACATGTCTAAAAAATTAGACTAGAAAAAATGAGGTTTACAAAAACGCCTTTGATAAATAAAAGACAGTGGAAAGACATATTTCATGTTGGGTCGTGACATGCCGTAAGATTTCTACATTCAATGATTGCATAATTAAGTATACAATTGTGTCTTACAGGATCATAAATTCTTTCGACTGCAAATCTGCTAAAGACTACTTAACGTCAAATAGTACAGTTGATAACATGATAAAAGAAAAAATAACCAATTTTGTATAATCATACATGTGTTTTTTAGATCATACAACTTACCAATTGGTAAACAATTAAAACAATCGGTAAATGTCTTCCATAACTTGATGTTATAGCGCCGTTTACATTCGTCATAAAATCCGTAAATGCTAATTGTAAAGGTAGAAGAAAAAATATCAAAGTTAACAGTAGTGTATGTATTTTAATAGCATAACATTTACCATTGTCATAGATAGAATAACTCCTTCCTCCCATCTATCAAAGAGTATATTCCAAAAAGCCTGAATTATTATTAGTTTATTAAAAGTCACTTTAGTACAGTATTAATATTCCTCTACTTTTGCCAATATATGGCATAAAAGGATTATATGATCTTTATTATGGTATTCATGACATACTTAAATCTATAATATTAAAATTACAGACAACAATAATCCTATACTCATTAAAGACAGTTAAAAAGTGCCGAATGGAAACAGATTTTGGTAAAATTATATCAGCGTTACTTCATTAATCTGATCGCAAAATGTGTCATCTAAAGTAAATTTTTACTTTATAAAAGAATAGGTGAAAAGTAAAGTCTAAATTTGAAGTTTAGACTATACAGTAGAAAGAAGAGAGTAAAATTGAAAATCTTATTTTTTTAGGGAAAATAATAAATAGGTAATTGGTGAGTATTAAAGTTACATTGTAAAAGAAGACAAGCCATATATAAATCATATATTTATCTATCTGATATTGAATGGCTAAAGGTAGTATAAAAAATAGTGAGAGAAATAGGTATTATTAATTAGTCTTCCATAAATTTCATCCGACTTATTCATGATTTATGTTCACTAAAAGAAACGTCGATAAGCCAATATATACGTGAATAATACTATAGTGCATGAGTAGAACTAAAGAAGAACATGCAGGGAAAAAGCAAATATTACCTAAAAGATTACAATAAAAATACGTCAAGATATCCTTAAACTGTTTGCCAATTAACTGGAGCTAGATGATGAAAGATATTAAAATCTTAATCAAATACATACAATTACCGTGTTATTATCCTGATTTGCTATTCTAGATGATTTTATTCGTACAGTAACTACAACTACTAAAGGGTATGGAAATTTTAATTGATATTATAGGTTAAGCTGATAACGTTAATAATTCTTAAGATGAAAATTTGGAAGTTTTAAAGGGTTGTCATTTTAAAAATGGAAGCAAATAAACTCATTTGAAATATAGTTATGAATTTGCGGCTACTATCATCTATGTATGTTCATCATATGATACCATACTATACTACCAAATAAACAAATGATGTCCAAATATAACAGCATTCAACGGTTATAACAAAAATTTATTAATGGTCCATGTATTAAATGAGACAGGCTTCCTTTTAAAATTGCAGTAAAATAGAAAAAAGATTTTATCCGATTTCATTGTAACGATTGGGTGTTCTTGGTCATACAAGACCCTTTTAATTTTTTAATTTATAACTCTTTAAAAAAGGAATTTTCTCATAATATACTGCTATTATTTAACCACTAATGTAAATTTTCAAGTTTTAAATTAAGGAGATTTTTCAAATAGTAGACTTATGAACTAGATATATCATAAAGCCTATGAAGCGCACGCAAGTTAAAAAGATATACCTCTAATAAGGTACGAATTAGTTGAATTTTATCAAGTAGATAGTGTTTTTAGGCTAATTATTTGAATAGGGCGCTATTAGAAGCTTGATGATATCAAAAATTAGTGTAAAATGTAGTGATGATGAGTAGAGAAAAGGCAAGGGCATTGCAAATAATGGATAATTAATTATCAATATGAAGTCTATGTTGGTCCTAATTATAATCTTTTTAAAGTGACTTTTTGGAACGATAGTCATGTCTACTTAGTATGTGTCAAGGCAAAGATACTAAGGAGAAAATTATCAAAGGCATTTGAAGGAACAAATGAGCATATAGACTACTGGGTGTTTACACTTTTATAGGCTTAAACATCCATTTATTGCAATGTACAGGGGAAACGTAGCAACGGCGAATAGTTCAGAATACTTGTTTAGAACAATTTCTGATTGTATCATTGGACAAATGAAATAAAATAGCCAGGTCTGGTAGTAGAAAAGAACTTCATAATATTATCACGAAAGAAAATAAAATCATTTAAATAAATAATGCTAAAAATGATGGTTAGGAAAAAGTCCGGTTAACAATTATCGTCATTAGAATTGAAATCGACTTGATTAATAGCTATCATGGGCGATGAAAACTAGTTAGCGTTTTTATTTATTTTTATTAATTATTATTCATGGCTATCATTATATTATCGATAAAAGTAGAATCAATATAAATATAATGTAAGCATAGATCCTATTGTACTATAGTATACTATGGATCAAATCGAATGAGAGGTACGAGATAATCAAATATTGGTTGAATCTATACTAATTTCTTCCTAATATCAAATGGAGTGATGTAATTATTTCATTTTAATAGGTTAATAGATTGGAGGATTGCAATTTTTCCATTTTTTCTATCTTGAGTATGATATATTCTGTCCTTTTCATATTATGATTGAAGATATAGCAGCTATGATAGACTCAATTGAATAGAATGCCTACATACGTAGTTGCCAATAAGTTGCTAAAATTTAATTCAGCAAGAAAAAATACTGGCCAAAGGAAAAAGTGCAGTCTTAAGTAATTTACTAATATATGTGCAATCTTACCGATTGATGCCAGCGCATTCATGATTCCCGCGGAGTAAATATAGTTTATCTGGATACTTGACTTTATATGCTAATATTAAGCAGATAGTTTCTAACGATCTTTTTCCCCTGTAAATATATAAGTATTTATAAATAAAGTAATTTTAGTAAATGCTGTGCTATAATAACATAAAAGGAAAACATTAGCACAGTAGCAATGATAATTAACATTAATGTAATATTAGCTATTTTCTTTAATCATGAGAGGAATTTAAAATTCAGCAAGTTCTTAACTTAAAAAAAGAAAAAATAAGGCTGTAGACAAAATTTTACGATTATATTAAATAATGAACTTAAAATTTACTATACGTAATTGTATTGATGATTATCCATTTCAGCATTACCGTAATTTGTTATAAAACAAATAATGTCAAAATGGATAGATTGATCAATTGCTTGGATTTGAGCAGATGATTTAGAAAAAGCAACTTATATTTATATAGAACTAGCTTTTAAATATGATCACACTATCACCCCTAATTCATAATTATTCTAGTTACGGTATGTGGATGTCAAAAATTTACCGATCAACGTAATCACCAAGGAATAGGTAACTGGAGTCCGGTGGATAGCCTAATTTATCGAAATGCCTTAAAAGATCTTCATATTGACCATGGATATCACCACAAATATTAACTGGCGCATTAACAGAGACAAGCATAGGTTGCTGTAGAAATAGTTGGCGAGAAACTTGACATAATAGCCTGATTTGACTTTCTGGAATTTGAACCTAATAAAGATAGAATGAAATCATGCGATCATTAATAGATAATAAACATAAAAAATTTAATTTTCCTAGCATAGTTTTTTCAAGATTAGAATATTACTATTGATAATGATCCCAAGCTAGCAATTAAATCTTGCTGTGATCAAAGTGAATAAAATAACACCACGGGATATCAAAGCTAGCATTTATAGACTATGGACATCATAGCGAGAATGGAGTATAACGTTCTTAAAAACTAATTGGATAAGAGTGGATAATTAATAGACTTATATTATTCCACTCTGACAAGCTAACAATATAAACGCTTAATCTAACTATTTATTTATATCTACGTAGATCTACATAGTTTCAGACTGTACCTTCTAAATTTTAGCGAATTTTATTCTATTTATCATAAAGTATAAATTAAAACGCTGAATACTAACTGATGTTTATGAGTATACAGCCATGTTAGCATAAAGATGGATACAATAAAAGAGATAGGATAAGGTCTAGAAATAAAAGATGGAATTATCCATATTTCTCTTGATGCCATCTACTATCACATAAGAAATTGTTATACTCTCTCAGCCGACAGAGTATACTCGATAAGCAGCAATAAAGATGAAATTTATAGTTAATCTTAATCCTTTAGTCGACTGCAAAACTAGAACTATACGTTATTGGTACAGTATCGATTCGACATTCAATGTGAAGATTGTCTATCGTCTCTTCGTCTAATTTATTCATTATTGCACTCTTTCTTGTAATCAATTCTATTCGTATTCGATATTAAAGCAATCGTTTCAGTACGTCATCTACGTGATGATAATTTCCACTCAATAAAAATTGACTACTGATAATCGTTCAGTATAAAATTGGAATAAATTGATTTATCGTCGTTCTTCATGATAATTAAGCAATAGATCACTTACTTGTTTTCCTGGATTACTTCGTACCGATAGCAATTTATCTAATATGGCATCAACATCTAATTCGTGAGATCTTTCCGCCATGGTGGAGTATGAAGTATTTTGACGTTATTGCAAATATTGAAGACTTACAGCGTAATTTAGATCAAGTAAAAATAAGCAATACTGCACAGAAAAGTGTCGACGTGAAAGCAATACAACTTATCAATAGGTCAAGTAAGTGTAATAGGAAGCATACTGTCTGGATACAACGCTTTAAGAAATTGATGTTAAGGGTAAAATAGTTGTGAATTTAATATGCCGTCTAAATAGAAGTTGATAGTCGTTACGTAAACACGTTGAGATCTCACTCTCTCTAGAGAGTCTCTACGCATCTATCATATATATTTCTGTATACATAAACCAGGCTGTTAATTAGTGCATCTACAGTATATCTATATCTATATGTGCAGTATACTATATATATATATATATGTATACTGTACGTGTATATAACACATACGGGTATATCTATATTCTATATACTGTAGATAATATCCCGTCTACTTCTACTGTAGAACAAAGTATTGTGTTGTTGATATACATAGAGCAAAAATATTTACCTTTTATGTAGTAAGAGTATTAATAAATGGCAGTAAGAAAATGGCATTGTTTACATCTAATGTATGTAATGTTATTGCTATCTCCATAGTGAAATGTTGCAGGATGGATACCGTTATCGAGTGATATAAGATACTGAAAATACAGTAACGTCTTCTACAATTCTTTGTTATTATTCCTGGTGATGTTGCTGTTTGAGCAGTTTAACATACCAAAGTATTGTTGTATACTATTGGTTACTCGGTGCACTCATGATTTGGCCGATATTGTTTTACGTATTACATCGTAAGTCATATTTGGGTAGTATCCTAGTGTCGCCGGTGTCAAAAAAAAAAAATAATTAATTAGCTAATTAGCGATCGCTATAGACTGCCATCTATGTGGATATCGTTTTAACGTAAAATATTATTGCACCATCATATCATTTTAGATGGTGAATTGATTTGATTGAAACGGTATTTACTATTTTTATGCAGCAATATAGAGTATAAATTAATTTATTATAATTATTAAGCTATCATGGAAAAATACAAGTACATTGTTTATGAATGCCCCTCATCCAATGTTCTTCCAGTCTTTATAGTGAGCCGATTCCTGGTGGGGTGCCGTTGTCGACTTGGATCCAAGGTATTGAATATCCTCGTATCTACAGTAGATCACATTATCACTAGTATTCTACAGTAAAAAGTGCATCCTTTGATATCACCCGTTCTCAATCACTGACTAATTTTCTATTCTACATCACATCTGCTCCGACTATGTTTAGTTTGTTATGTTTGAGTAGGTAAGCCATAGCGGGGCATGGAATGCTTGCATCAATTCATTTTCTATCTGTAAATATTGTTGCATCATTCAACAGTAGTGGCTTACAAAATACTGTAGTACAGTTGATGATGGGTAAGTGATTGCCAGTTGCCATTGCTCTTAAACTCTATACTAAACGCTGCTGATTCCATGCAAAAAGGGGATATAAAGTGACCCATGGTAAAGCCATGTTACACTGTGATTTCAGGGCATCCTATAAATTATGTTACTTACTCTATTTACATTATCTACTGTATTGTAGAGTATAGTGTAGCCAGTTTGGAAAGAGTTGTTATGGTAGCTAATAGCGATGATATATGTAAAAGAGGTGTTTTTTACACGAGGATTTCTTCTACCTCAAGAGCACATCAAAATTTCTGGGGATGGGGATACATTGCATAGTAGCAGTAATACACTCCGCGTGATTGATTTCGTTTCAGATCAACCGGTGCATATCTTGGTGATCAATTTTGGTGACGAGTTGTATAAAATTGATATCAGACGAAAGAGGAAGGTCTCAATATCGATTGATATCAATTTTACAGCAAACTAGTCCATACTTTTACATTTACTTTATTTATGTTTTTCGTCATGTGAACTGGGAATGAATCACGCTGTCGACTTCAGAGATATCTAGAAGCAGGACTGTCAACAAGAATATTGTACTGTACACTGTACACTGTACAGGACGGTTGCTGTGGCCAAAGAAGCAACTCTACAGTACACAGAGTACAGTACTGAATACAGTACTGTACAGTACACCGCTAATTTGGAAATCATTTGTTGAAATTTTCAGTACTGTCAGCCTCATGTACCTTAACTGTACCGTACTGTAGCGATTGATATCAATTTTACTGCAAACTAGTCCATACTTTTACTTTTATTTTACTTTTTCGTCATGTGAACCGGGAATGAATCACGCTGTCGACTTCCAGGGATATCTACTGTAGAAGCAGGACTGTCAACAAGAATATTATACTGTACACTGTACACTGTACAGGACGGTACTGTGCCCAAAGAAGCAACTCTACAGTACACAGCATACAGTACTAAGTACTGTGACCTGTCTATACTGTAACTGTACAGAGCTTCTCATAAGTTCTTTCCACTGTTTGAAATTCAATGCAATTATAATTTCAAGTCCTTATTAGACAAATTTGGTATATTTTGATAGCTGAAATGTTTCAACATTCAAATATCGTAATAAAAAATGTAAAAAAATCAATTTCTAGATTGAAATTCTACACCGCTAATTAGGAAATGATTTGTTGAAGTTTTTCGTACTGTCAACTGTACCGTCCTGTCGTGAACGCGCACCTATTATTCGACAGTACAGTACACTCCAAATCGTCCATTTCTATATAAAGTACAGTACTGCAGGCTCCATACTGTACAGTGTACAGTGTACAGTACTGTACTACTGTACTGTACAGCACGCGATGAGCATTACTGTACTGTACTGTAGTACTGTACCACGTTTGGCTATGCTGTTCACTGAGTGGACACTGTACAGTACTGTACTGTATGCAGGCAGTATAAAAAAAGAGCTCTGTCATTTTCAAGCAACAGTAAACCGTCTACTCGACCATTGGAGGAGAAGGCATGCATAGTTGGACATAAGCCGTTTGAAAAAAACCCAATTCTCGTCGTTTCCCTTGCTGTAGGCAGCAAGTTGTTGTAATATATTTCACTACAATGTTACTGTGCTACCTAGTGTAAGTTAGTCAACAATTCAATGACTCAACGACACAATTATTTATAAATTAGCCATAGTATTGTTGTACCGTAGCGTACTGAAATTGAAGTAAATCAAAATCTCTTTGAACTTTTCCCTGTTGGTCCGTTAAGACATATCCAGTACACCAATTATGCCTTGTATTCATTACAAATTTCGTAATGCTAAAGAGTATGATACGATCACATTTGATACCTTACAAATCACATTAGCTGATTTAAAAAAGGCTATCATGAATCAAAAGAGAATGGGAAAATCGACGGAATCCACTTTAGTAGTGACTAACGCTCAAACTGAAGAAGGTAAGCTTGAACCGAATAAATAAATAATAAAAAAAAAAATTGCATGCTAACACTTCTACCAATACTTTATTATTCTGCAATGAAATTTTTTTCACAGCAAGTCTATTATATGTTGACGACTTGAATGAAATGCACCTTACTGTAGTCGTCGTGTTGAAAGTATCTTTGCAAATTGGAGGGGAGAATACAGCATTTTGCTCGAGTGGACAGCCAAATGATTAGACGATACAGTACTGTACAGTACCGTACAATTTTGCTTACATTGAGTTAGCAAAGTCAACAGCAGTACCATACTGACTCTACTCATACCAGGTTGTGTACCATGCATGTTTTGAAGCCAAAAAGCTCATACCCATCATGCCTAATGAGGATGAGGAACGCATTACACGATGGCACTGTTGACGATGGTTATTAATGAACGCCATCTTGACAAGGTATACAGTACAGTCCTGGCAGCAAAATCATGCACGCAGTCGACTGCAGTCTTCCACTTCAGTACAGTGCGGTAGTACTGACTAATTTTAGTAATCGACAGCGATAAAAGAAAATTCCCATCATCAACTTGTTCTTCCAAGTGGATGCAAAAAACTCTAGCATTGGTAAAACGTGCTTCAATTATATCGAATGCATTATAATTTGCGTACTTGACCTTGTGCAAACTCCTGAACACAATAATTATTATTATTTGAAACGAAGTACTGTACTGTTGTAGGTGAACACGATAGAACTGTAGCAGTATAGTTGCTCAGTAACTCCTATTACATGGTTAGTAGTAATACAGTAGTAGCTCAGTTATGGGTTGCATCTTTAATCAGGTTTACATCTTTGCATATTACAGCTGTCTGCTAATGAATGCATTGAATGCTGTACGTCCTATCAAAATTTCAAGGGGATAAAGAGATATGTGTGCGTTATTGGTTTTAACGTGAAAAGTTATAAATTACCGTCTCATTATTTTAAAATGCTGGCTTATTATGCCTGCGTTGCAATGATATGTTATCATATGGATAATGAATTATCTGTATAAATTCTCAATTTAATTCAATTCAAAAAATTCACAGTTTATGAATAAGGGTTGATCTGTTGAATTAAACTATTTCTCCAATATTTCTCTTTGATTAGAATATAAAGATGAGACAACCATGATACCTAAGAATACTTCCGTTGTGGTTAAAAGAGTACCGATGACTAATCCTAGAGCTGCATCGCGATCAGAAAAGAGCGGGTAAATTGAATGTTGAAATAGACATAAATTTATCTTTATACAGTAATTCATCATTTCCAATAATGTTACGAAATGCAATACACTACTTGTAAACTGTAATTGTAAGATAGTATCAATTTAATTCAGATTCTCAATTGCTAACATACTGATATTTTTATTCTTATTTATTTTTATGTATGTGTTGCTTGCAGAGATGGAAGAGACAAGATCTCGATTGCTCTACCAGTACGTACTTTAGTATTGGAATGCAGTAGTAGGTTACATCTATTATTAAACCTTGTGAAATGAAGTAGCAATGCACCCAATGATATTGGTATTGTATTGTTTGATTGCATGATTTTCTTTCTTCAAAGTTATATTTATTAAAATGTATTGCAGACGTTGAAAACGATTGCTGCGATACTCTATGTCATTGTCTTCCCTCATTCAGCATTCTCTCTTTTAAAATATATATTAAATTACTTTTTACCAGTATACCATTGCATATCTACTTTGATAATGCGTGATTCTTTTCTATCCATTTGCAACACCATTAAAAGAAGGGGATAAATAATATCAATTTATTAAAATTAGTTATACCTCTGCAATAACTTTACTTAGCATGCATTTATACGGTGTTAGATGCTGCTGCAACATATTTTTCTTACGATGGATATCGCCTTAATTTGCTATTGATTGATTAATTGATTACACGGTATAGAAAAAGTACAGATGGTTCCGCAATTAGTGTATATGTATTTAGCTCGAATTGCAACACTAATAGTTGGACGTTCTACCTTTTACTAAAAGCAGAAACACGCAACTAGATTGACGTACTGTTCAGTAGTATCGTAGAAAATGTACAGTGAGTAAAATACAAAATACCCTACGGTAATCATCGTGACATCTTTCTCATTAACTCATCTACTATATAGCTTACCTGGCGTAATAGATCATGTAGCAATAACTGTTTTCTCTCCTGTATTGGTACAACGTATGGTAGATAAAAATAACCAATTCTCAAATTGTCTAAAAAATTAATCCTCAGCAAGTTGCTTTACAACCCATTTATATTATTCATTATTACCAAAAAAGTCTCAAATTTTCGTCATGCCGTACGAAGTATAATCGTTATTGGACTCATGTACCTAACAGTAAATTAACTTGTTCACTTTAGAGTGGCTCTTCTGACAAATATATGATTATCCATATATCCATATGCACTCATACTTAGTGATGCTTGCCTTAACTTGCTTAATTCAGTTAAATCTTGCAAGAATATGAGAAATTTTAAAAGTCCATCAATTGATATGAAATAATGCGCTCAAAGCTGATAAAATGAACAATGAAAGTCTTAACTTGTTAATATTTTGTATCCTCTACTAAATCTCACTTTACGCCGAAAATATAAGTTTGATAGTAACTGTTTGGAACTTATATAACGACTAAATTGATAATTGCTACTACTGTATGATAATAATTATCGCTAACATGCAGTACTGGATAGTAATATCAAATGTTTGAGAATCTCCGATGTATTTTTATCAGCTTTAATTGCGCGTGCAATAGCTTCTTTCCAGAGGGTTATTGTACTTTACTTTGTACGTCTAAATACTACTGTACGACTTTATAAAGTATTGGTGATGAACTGATGATACATGATAATCATTTATATTTACCGTAACAATATTTGTTTTATAAAACTTTGAAAACGCGCCTTGTTTTAGAAATTTGAGTACGTCAAAATTTAAATTTTCTCTGTAATAAAGTTGGGATAGGCAATGGGTCCGTAATATTTTATTTCATCCATAAATAACTCTTTTTTTTCCTAGGAAAATTCGTCAGATCGCAGTGCACCGAAAAAGGTACGCTTGTTGAAATGGCAGTTATTGTATGCATTGTCGCTTTGCTCATAGACTTTTTGACAGGAAACAATATGTCTACCTAATAGATATGCACAATTATAGAAAGAATCAAATAATATAGCTAAGAGTCATTAATTATAGATTGCAGATCCACTAAATTCACCTGATACAGAAATGGAGAAAATTAAGGACATGATGAAACAATCAAGTGAAGTATACAACGCTACTCAGTACGTAAAATCATTATTGTACGTACAGATTGTACAAATTATGGACAACATTGTACGATGTAGTTCGCATTGTAGCGTCAGGCCGGGTTTGATTTGGTCTGAAATGTACTGTTATGAGTAGTGTTATTGGTAACAATTTGTCAGCTATTTATTAAGCATAATGAATATGCTTTTCTATTTTCTTAAATTCTAAATACAATGATTAGACATTCACAACGGAGTACCATGCGCAGTAATCGTGATTTACCGCCGAATTACTTATGTTATCGATGTGGTCAACCGGGCCATCATATTTCAAAGTGTCCAACTAATGGGGTAACTAGCACTTAAAACGTGATATCATGGATTAATCTAATATATCAATTGGTACGAAATACTGATTTAAAATGGTACAATAGGACTCTCGATACGACGTGAACAGATTGAAAAGACCCACTGGAATCCCCAAAAGTTTCTTACAAGTTGTAGACAAATCTGACGGAGTTACAGTTATGACATCTGCTGGACAATTTGCCATTTCTTCATCATCAGAGTAATTTATGTTACAACAGTAGTTGAGCTAATAATAGAGGCCATTAGTTGCAAAATATTTAGAAGCGATTGATTATTTTTCAGGAAAGTTGCATCTAAAAACGAGTGGGATGGCAAACCTGTCGTACAGGTTAGGCGTGAGGTTAATAAGAAAGAAGTCCCTCCAGAATTGTTATGTGGTATATGTAATAGACTCTGTGTCGATGCTGTGGTTATCCCCTGTTGCGGGGCAAGCTTTTGTGACGACTGTAAGCTTAAATTTTATTTGAGGAAGAATTTTATTGAAAAATATTTTATCGGAATTTTGAAATATTAACATTTTCCTTCGCAAGGTATTCGAAATCATTTATTAGAAAATGATGATCACTCCTGTCCGATATGTAAATCGCAAAATATATCACCTGATACACTTGTAATAAATCAATCAGTCAGAAAGGTATCTATTCAATTTATTTCCTCTTCTACAAATCGTTATCTCTTAATTAAATGTTATCTTACTTCAATAATCATCTAGAGTATAGCCAAATTTGTCGCCGATAAGTATTCAAATGCTGTTATTGAGCAGAGGCAAGTGATGCTAGAGTGATAGAATTGATTGTTAAAAAACGTAAGGAGATTGACTATCGCTACCTTAACTTGCTATTTTATTATAGCCAAGAAATAGATAATTCTAAATTAGAAACAATAAAAACCGAGAAGAGCGTGCAACCTCCTGGTAATACATAATTTATACATGGAACAAATCGCTTGGGCTTAGATCTTTAATTCAATTTTTAACCTTTTAATACCAGCTTCCGATATCCTAAGTGTATTCGTTTATTGTTCGTTGATTAATAACAAACATGACCAATTAATTATTTCTACCAGATTCGAAGCCACTATCGAATAGTAAGCAACAGTCCGAGACAGCACATAGAAATGATACAGTGGCTTCTGGTGATCGTATAAAGTCGTTTGGGAAACCGATTTCAACTAAAGTTAAAGGACGTACGAATGCGGTCGCCGATGTAGCCGGTAATTTTTATTATTACCTTGTAATATACAAGTATTATGCAGATAAGACATTGATCTCCTTTTGATAGTAAACAATGAAAATTTCTGATACACCTAATATTTTACTGAAATAGCTAAGAGCGAGAAAGTAAAACGTCAACAAGAGCCTTGTCGCACATTCCTTCAAACTGAGCCTCGAAGGTCTACTCCGATACCAGATCCTCCTCAAAATCCACCTATTATGACGATAATAAGTTAGTTTTAATTAATTTTGGTAATGACCCAGTATAACATTCTTTACGCTTATGTCTGATTTTTGTCCCTGTAGACGATCCAACATTCGAACGAATTCCCAATATGGGGTCACACTTGCGGTTTCCGAGACCTCCGCCAGTTAGGTAATGATAATACTTGAGACATACAACTATCTCTAAATTCGTAATTGCCATACTTTAACTATAGTAACTGTAATACTATCTATATCTATGAACTTACATTATCTATGCATGTAATGTCATAGTGCACCGAATGTATATGGGGGAATTCAACATACATTTAATGTAGCACCTCAGGAAATTTTCCCATCGAACGCCCCGCAATCTTATGTTCCACGTCCTCCCATTCAATTAGTACGTCAGAATATTCTGCAGCCCATGGAATTTAATCATCCGACACCACCGCCGCCATTCTTAAATAAACTTCCTATGATTACTCCCGAAGCTACGATGATGAACATGCAAGTACCTCCTCCTATCTTCAACCCTTCACCGATGCCGAACGTTCCTATGTCTCAACCTAATATATCAACTGGCTTTGAACAGTTCACACCTATGATAAATGAGAATACTATTTCTCATGATGATTATTCTAGGTATGTTGCTAATTTTTCTTCCGAAATTAATCTAGTATAACATCAGTAACTCTACCTCGATGTATTATTAAGGGCTGCACTCACTACGTCTTATAACTAAAATCTATTAATTTTATCTAGAAAAAATTTTCGTGATGCAGAAGGTTCACGAAAATATTCGAGAAAGAGAGAACGAAAGAATAGATCTTTCAGTAGATCAATTTCTCGGTCACCTAGTGCTCAAAAGCGCCGAAAGCGTGATTCTAGTAGAGATTCTTACAGTTCTAGTAGATCTTCTGAATCTCATCGAAGGCGCCGTAGATCAAGATCTAACTCTAGGTCTCGTCAACGTTTTAAAAATCGGTTGTCACCTCGTCGTGGAAAACGTACTTCGAATAAGAGTTCCCGCGAAACGCATAGTCCTCGTCGTGTAATTAGAAAGAGTCATTCATCGGGGTCCAATTTAAAGTCTAGACATGAAAGCAGGACGAGAAAACCAGATTCCGATCGACACAAACGGCTTCGTAGTCCTATCCCAATAAGGAATCGCAGCGAAGATCTACGTTCTCGTATTGAGAAAAAATCTCTTAAATCTAGTTCTCAATCAAAGAAGGGAGAAAAAATAGTCAATAAAAAGGATTCCAAAGAAAAGAAAAAAACGAAATCTAGGTCTAAGGTAGAAAAACCAAATCGAAAAAGTTCTAATAAAGTTCATAAGAAAAAGAAAAGGAAGCATAAACATAGAAAAGAATCAAGTATGTCTCCAGTCATTGCCCCTGATTCGACAGCTGCATTATCAGGTGATGAACAGTCTGAAGGTTCTATGAACTCGGCCAAAGTTAGTAATACATCACCAACAGTTGGTCTAGAATCGGTCCATGAGACGGAAAGTGATTCGACCATCAAACCACCTAAGATTGAACTTATAACTTTCGATGAGAATGTAGTCATTGATTCTCATAAATTGAATGAGACAACTACTGTCCCGGATTTGACCGATAAAAGTAAATGTCAAGTAGAAGAGAAACAGTCTTCAACCTCCATCATTAAAACTGAAAACTCAATACCCACAATAACAACAAAACGACCCCGGCTTATCAGGAGAAAAGATTTCAGGTGACATCCCAGCACATGCTACATTTTCATAAATAGATATTTATGTATATTCAATAACCAGGATAGGAATATATCTTGCATCTGTAAATTGCAAATCCTTTATTCTCTGTTCTAATGAGATAATTTGTATCATTGTACAATGGACCCGTTTGTTAGCAAATTCTTGAAATAAAATATTTTTTGTGCAGCTTAGCTTCTTCAGTTTTGCTAATGTTTGTGTTATGTAGGATTAGGCATATGAAAGCTTTCCTGAAATTGAATTTGCGATTATATATTTTGACACTAAATCTTATTAAAAATAATTTGAGAACGTCACTACATTCGGATGAATGTAGCTTGATAATTCATAGCAAAAGAAATGGAAAATTCTTAGTATATTTTATGCCAAAATGAAGAATTTTTTAATAATTGGATATTGCCACTGCTACAATAAATCCTAACCTGTATCGCAATACAGTACTATCTACTGTAGTACGCGTATAATTAAGAGCAGAATTCGTACTTGCATTGCTTCCCAAGTTTCGTTATCGTAGTGTACTGTACACAAGTGTAGTGGTGTCTATATTTAGTTTTACTGTATGCAGTAGTCCTGATCAATAATATAAGCAGCTAAGCTATCGTAGATTACATTTTAATATACGCTTAACGCATACTATCACAATGACAGTGCCGGGTCTATTAGAATTATGTTGTGGATTTACATTTTGCAATTGATATTTACAGTAAAATGCAGGATTGCGACGAAAATTGCCATGAAGTGGTTGAACTTAAAGTTTAATATGGCTAACTGTTTAAATAAAGATAGTTGATTATTATTATATATAATAGATATAATTTGGCAGTTTTCTCATTGTTAGTTAACTAGTCTTTTAATCTGAGTAGCTGTGAAATAGTTACTAATATTTTCTTGCTAAATATTGCTCTCATAACCTATAGCTGATATTCTCGTGTCTGTATAGCTTCATAAATAAAAAAAAATCGAAAAATCTGGACAATAAAAGTATTACAACCTATATGAAGTAGCTTTAGCTTTGCTTTAGTTATGTAATATTTAATGCATGAGGTGTATGCAGTTATTATCGTTAGCAAATTTAGTTATAATTAATAAGAATGATTTGATCATCAGCTGCTACTTTACATTCAAGAGAGTATCAGCCTGATCATGCCATTTTTATTATACTGTACTTTACACGGTGGAAACAATATATGAAATCAGTTAGGATAAAGTAGTACTTATTTAATTTTACAGTACATGAAACTTGAGCTGACTGATCTGTTGTGGTCGAAAATACCTGGAATACTCGAAAAAGAGAGTAATCCCTGAAAATAGGATACTCCGTAATATATTTTATTTATTTAGTACTTCGTATATTGTGTACAGTACACTACACCACGCTCCTCTTCAATGGAAAGAAATCTTAAAGTAACTAATTAAAACACAAGTCTGCCTTATTTCATCAATACAAATACATCTGTTCTCGATGAACGTCCACTGTACAGTGTATGATACCATAGTCTAGTACCTATAATAACGCACCACGAATCCGCAACACGACCCGATAATAAGGCGTATTGTAAAACTATATAATCTACTATAGAGGCTATGATAGAGCTAACTTACTAGATACAGTATATAGTAGTACAGTACATACATTAGATACAGAACGTACAGTATGCAATATTCATATATATATATATTATATGTATAGGTATACATATATATATATAACACTGTACGTTGACAAAGGCGGAATCTTCGCAGAAACTGGCTTGTCTCCTTCACGGTATCTGAGGTGGAGCCGATCGAAATCTAAAACATGGCTTCTGCAGCTTATGGAGGAGCACCTCCAGTTGCAGACAGTAGAACACGTTCTGCGGCGATGAAAATGTTAAAGAAAGCCGAAATGAAATATAATGAAGGAGATTTCTATGAAGCTCATCAAATATATCGCATTGCATATGCAAGGTACCGTACACACAATTTCTGATATTGAATGTACATTCACAAGTATCCACAACTGCATTTTCGAATACGTGTAATGCTTTAATAGGTTTTGATTGGCAATTAAAAACAGTCTCTCTCAATTTTACATCAACTTACAGCATTAGTACAGTAACTACCGGGTAAACTAGGTATTTAATAATTAGTTCGCCAGTACAATCAGTAGACCAAATCGATATGAAAGAGTTTATGCTACACGGTATAACGACTACACCTAACCAAACCATCGAGGAGAAGGGGAGATAAAGCTATTACTGCAATGTTCATAGTACTAGTTAAGTTTCTTTGATGCTTGGTTTTAGGAAGTGTTGACGTAAGTCAACTCTTAGAGCGTTCAGAGTGATAGCAATGGAGATTGAGTTTAATGTATTACAATAGTACAACATTCTTGTTCTCTAATCGTGCAAATTTATTTCATCTATCATACATTAATTATAGAATAGATGAATGGACAATTTTGAATGTTTTTAACACTATGTCTTTTATTACTATATATTCGTTGATGTATGAAGATTTCGGGCTAAAGAATTATATAACGATGCAATGGAAGCTATTCGTCCTGCAATATTACTATTTACACGATGTAAATGCGTAAGTAGAACTTCAAACTAGATTAATATAAAGAGGAGTTTCCAAATTAATACCCTTAACTTATTACTAAGATATTATCTAGGACTACAGTACAACTTGACAGTTAATACCTTTGTGATACCATTGATAAAAACTAATCCCTTTCCATGTTTATGCTTACAATATTTCACACATTATATTTCTAGCTGTTTAAACTTCAAAGTATGTATACTGCATTTCAGTTATTTTGTTAATACCTTATGCGATTAGATGAGTAGCTATCTCGCTACTTTAAATTAGAAGATTGCATACAATAAAGGCATTTTATGATTGGTTTTACTAACTGTAAAATGTGCACATTAATAGATTGATCTAGCGAAGGACCTGGCTTTGCTGATTATCGAAACTTTAACGGATAGAAGGATTCCAGTGACCACGGCTATTCTAGGTTACATGCATGTTTTGATAGTATCACAAAGATGAAGTGTAAAACTGCCCCATTGTGACTTAAAACTTTTAAATATTATGCCATGAGTTATTTTGATAGATTCAGTAAAGTAGTTTTTAAAATTATATTCTGTCAATAATTTATAATCTAATACGGCGATTTATATATATATACTCGTATTACAGAAAATTTATCTTCAATCTGTGGCATGTTCGATTCAGATAGTGACGCTAGGGTTACTATCATTGAAAAAGCAATTTTGTGAGTTTGTTATTAATATATGTAGATGACATCGAGTCATGGCATAGCAGACTCGAAATTTTTTTGCTTTTAGCTGATTTTAATAGTATTATGTTTCATACATTGAAGGTATACAAAAGCGGTTGGGAACCCGGAACATGGCGACAATCGACTATATAAACTTCTAGCAGAAATGTATTGGAAAGGTTGACCTATAATGCAACAGTACTATATTATTAAATTTCTTGTCGACAAAAAATTATTTAATTTGATGTAATATCAATTGCCAGGTTCTTTATAATATCGAAAATTTTAGTTACAAATTCTGATTTAAATTAACCATTACGATTTACTTGAATCAATTTACATTAGAGAAAAATTTTGGCATGGCTATCAAATGTTTAATGTATGGAAATGCTGAAACGCTTGCAGGAGCCTTAGTTGATTTATCTATAACGTTTGGGTACAACGATGAAGCAGATTTAATAATAACAAATTGCATTTTGCAGTAAGTTCTAGAAATTTTTCAATTTGGCTATATGTATTCTAAAAGCTAGTTGATTGTAGTTGTTTTTTAAACATTATGACCATATCTTATTCGTTATCTGTATGTTGGCAAAACTAGACTGCTTTGTAGTAACAGAAAAAACATTGCCGCTGCAACTTTGCAACACTATGTTAAAACACATCCTCAATTATCTGGTTCTCGAGCCCCTTTACCTCTTATCAATTTCTTAAATTATGTAATTAGAGCAGTTGAAACGTATGTAAGGCTACTATTTTGTCGATTTAATCGGCGAGAGTACCTGTCAAATTATTTGCTCTTCTGGAAATCTGAGTTGACCGTATTCTATGTCTTTTATCTGCTTTAGTGGCGACACAGCTTTCTACGAAACAGTCATTTCACTTTACAGTTTATCTTTGTCTAGAGACGTAACTTTTTTTCAGGTACTATAATTTATAGTGATGGATAATTTTCATCAAAACTATAAGAATTTGCGGTCACATAATTTAGTATGGTGAACGCTTTATCTAAGGTCTAAATTTCGTTTCTCTTGGTACAGTACCTCACGCAAATTGGAAAAGTATATTTTAAGAAGACTATGTCTTTTAACACATTCATTGAGGACACGGATAAATCCTATATCGGTAAGATCCTTAAGTGAAATAGAGTTGGCGTATAGTTATTTTGATCGAGTTAAGATAACTGTTCTTGTCATTTATCTCCTGTGCATACAGTTGAATCTTTGACAAGGTATTTAATGGAAAGAAAACAAGACAGTTCAAATAGCGATGATGTCGTAGAAGATGCCCGAAGCGTAAACGACTTGATGAATTGATCTTACAAAAAAATAGGGAAACGGTCTATAATATTCATTAAATGACGTCTGATTTTGATTCCGTGGCTACATTCAGGTCATAATCTTCTTATTGAATATACGGTAATAACAGTTACGAAATAATGGCTACTACTATCACTGATTGGTAATGTATCCATCATAAATATCTAGCTGTTTGATTAGATAAAGATTGCCTTTTACGATTGATTGGCCTGACACATACAATTAACTTCCAATTTAGCTTATAAGCTGAATATGAAACGCAATGATATATTATGAATTTAATTTGAATCAGTAGTAGCATAAAATGATACCTAATCCATGTTAGTTTTGGAAGTGCATAATTTATCAAGATACAGTATATATAGAATGCCCGAGCCCTTACTTGGACCGTGACATATATGCCATATATATACTTTCGACAGTCTCCTGATGTATTATATCGACACTATATTGATGGTGATACGTAGATCTTGTTTATTGCTAATTTTGTGAAATTATTTTGAATGTTGACTATCACCAATAAAGTTCGTCTATTGCATCTGTGCGTAGATTACGACTATGCTATAATTATTCTGTGCAAATTTGATTCTATGATCGCGTCCTATTTACTGTTAGTCAATGCTGTCTCGAATAGTATTAACTTTCTACGCAAGAGACATAGGCCAAGAGTTTATATTGAAAATCGATTTTGATCCAAAGAATCATGTGATGATCACGATAGAATCGATCATAGTGTGCTCTTCGATACAGAGTACAGTTTCAGTCCCTTTACCTTTGTTCCACTTTATATGACGGGAAAGCGGTAGGTCATATGACTGCCACTGCCAGTACAGTACTGTACGTACAGCGGGATTAACTTCGGTGGCACTAAGGAAAATAAACTGTGTAGGCTAAATCAAGCCCAAAGTAGATAAAATCTTATATATAGACGTAGCCCAATAACTCATGCTCCTGCCTGTACTGATAGATCTTGAACAAGAGTGTTAACAAATTGCAACTTTCAATTTTCGACGCCATCTTGCCATCGAAGTTAATCGCGCGTTACTGCACAGTGTACAGTGTACAGTACACTAAGGTTATTACTGTACTAAAAAAGAATGACGTCATAATCCAAGGCTTGTTGTGTGTCAGTAACATTTATAAATTGAAAGTGAGCCGTGGCAAAGTCATTCGTTACTGTGATCGTACAGTGTACAGGTGACGTGCGTAAGGCGTTTGTAACAACGGTAGCTTCAGTCGAGCAGCTCGATTGCAACACCTTAGCTGCTACTCGTAGTAGAACGATAGCATCGAGCTCATTTACTGCCAATCCATTAGCAGTCCATTGCTGTGGACAACTTGCCAGTATCAGCTAGGCATCCTCTTTTGCCTCTAGACGTAAGTAATCTATTCACATCAGACGATAGATCGTAGAAACTTGAAGGATCGTGCCATGATTAGCGCAAGGTTCGATCCTCGATGAGGAATAGTAGCTGATCGGTTGCAAAACCTGGTTCTATGGAGGATATCATGCATGTAGATAAGAGTAAATAACGATCGTAATGTCTTGGTTAAAGTGGATAATGTTCGTGTCTTTCAATTTCCAACTAGGGCTTGTAGACGATTAACACTTCATTAAAGGGCGACTTTGTAAATAAAGAACAAGGTCTGTTGTCGTAACTGGACTACAATTAAACAATCTCCTTGTTGTTGCAGGTAAGCACCGCTTTGCAATATTGTCTAATAACGATTATACCAGCTCAGTTGCATCATCGACAAGTAAAAGTATTACAAGCAGGTAAATGTTTCATCAAGTAAAGATGAGGTCTAGAAGATAACCTGGTTTTATCAATCACTTTGTTAACTTTTCCATGACAGTTACTGTAGTCATGCCAAAATGAATCCAAACTGTCCTATATAAACAAGTTTGAGTAAGATAGGAGATAATAGAATAATGATAAAAGATCTGCTAACTTTTATTATCTACTTATGTATATTATCTATATATATGTCAATGAATGTGTACAGTACAGCATACTAAAATCTTGAACAGTTGCAATAATAAATGAAATAAAGGTGTTAGTATGACAGTATCGATGTTTACTAACACATGCAAATTTTGCTACTGGTCTCCATTCGGATAGGATTCTAGTTTGGACTCTTTCTTCTCCACTTCACACAGTCACAGACATAGTAATTGGACGTTTGCAGCAAGTCAAATCATCTTGTAAACGGACCTATAGAAGAAGACACAATTTACTAAGTTTGTCAAGTTCATGAACCTTATACAGTAGATAGAGTAAATTAAAAATACCGAAATTGCAATGTGGGTGACACTAAGACAGACAAAATGTCTCATGTACAAAAATTTTCTGATAAAGAAAAGAGACAAAAAACAATTTCTGCAAGAGCTATTTTATCCTATTTACATGGTTGGTATACTGGCTATGATTCGGGCGTTAGTTAGACCGCAACAATATCCCGAAATTAAAAATTTTCCTCAACTACCATTGGATAATATTACCACAAATATCAATCAAAGTTATCTCCTACTCTATTCTCCTAATAACAATGCTGATATCGATAAAATTATCCAGCAAGTGAGTCAAATGCTAGATCTAGAAAATCCACCCGTAGGCTTTGTTAATTCATCGGATATCGAGCAATACTACAGAATTGGCACCAACAGTCGAAGTATTTTGGGTGCAGTCATTTTCAACTCGTATAAATCGAATAATGTCTCTTATACTATTCGAATGCCTGACTCGGCTATTCCGTCTACTACGCACACTACAGCTACCGGCGGTATTACAGGTAATCACCATCGCTTGATCAACTTATAAGTAATATATGTACAATATATTATACAGTATAATTTATAATGAGCAATTAGGTAATAGATACGGTACTGTTGCTACCAATGATTTTATTTAAGCTTTACAGTATTTTGCTGAATGTATATTGAAAGGTTATGGCTTCTTTTACAATAAATAGAACAGCTATGTAGGATTGGCCTTAACCGAGGCGCAAAAACGCTTATTTGTATTTCAGTGATTAAATTGCCTAATACTAGTGAATTCGAAATTTTCTCATTATCTTACTTCTTACTTACATACTATACTAACTGATATATTAGCTCACAATATGGCATAGTATAATATACAATAATATACAATTATACATACAGTAGTATTTTGCCTATCTATAGTAACATTGCATATAGCTATAACTCAAAAAATCTGAGAGTCTTTAATAAATCAACTATGGATTAATTTTATTTTTAAAATGTATGCATATTAGAATGATTTCGGTATATATCTTAATTAAAATTATTAACTGAAGGAAAATCTTTGATCTTTCATTACGTTAGTGCACACAAAATCTCATGTGCTCTGAATATTTATACCAGTCTAGGCAAAACTAAGATAAGATAACAAACATTAAAGTTTTAATAAACTTACAAATTGCACTTTTTAAATACGTATGCTAGGTTCATGTCGCAATAATCTTACCACTTATCTTCCTGCTATACGATGTCCTGCAAATACTTATTTATCATCCGGTTTCGCTACTATGCAAAATTTGATCGATTGGTCTATCACGCAAGTAAGTATATCGAGACTACGAAGCGAATTTCTACTTAATAACAATACGTTTATAATACAATAATGATTAGTATTAGCAAAAGGCATTGATGATTGTAAGAACAAGGTGAATCTAAAAGATAATTTATTCCTTATCCCTTATGGAATTGAACTCTTCGCATTTCCGATTCCGTATACAGTTGCAAAAATTGCACCATTTTCCATCTACTGCAATGTCTAATAGTCAAGTATTGTAGCTTTACATCATTATCAGTTTAAAATATTTTATACACTTGAGACTAATGACATACTATACAGCAATATGTGCATTCTTATTACATACATTTACTCCATTGTGGCTTGAAATCTTAATTAATTTACTCATCTTTTTAATGTATATATTTTTGCAGTCTATAAGTCAATTTAATTTGTATTATATTTGAAGTTGATACAATGGCCTCTTATATCTTAATTTATTGTTATTTTATGAGTAACTAATGCTCTTTATATTAGCTGCTACAGAGATTTTAATCTTTAATTTTCTAATATACATTTACAATATAAAACATACCGCGTACAAGCGCAATAATTTATCTATCGATAAAATAATTAATCTTGATTATTGTTTCGACAAAACTTTAGGTCAAAGCTGGTTTATCTGATAGCCTGCCTAAATCAGAATTCTTCTTTCAATTAATGCCAAAAGGAGCATTTAGTGGCGGAGTCAGCTTTCTTCAAGTTTTCGTGTCAATCTATTTCGTTATGGCTTATGCGCCATTTGTCAATTTCTTACTGGTTGGCCTTGTAACAGAAAAAGAGAAAAAAATCAAGGAAGGCATGAAAATGATGGGGTTACGAACCTCAGCATTTTGGCTATCTTGGTTCCTAACGTACACTCTGACGATATTAATTTCTACCATTGTTGTTACCATCATTGCAGTGGTAGCTTCTCTCTATAGAGCTAGTAATCCATTCATCATATTTCTCCTTCTGTTTCTTTATGGATTATCGATTGTTACATTCTCTTTTATGCTAACACCATTTTTCAATAAAGCCACCGTTGCTGGCGCTGTTGGTTCATTATCTACGGTAGCTTTCACTGCATTATATTTTCCGGTTACATTGCTGCCAACCCCACCATTTGCTAAATGGATTCTATCTTTGTTATCACCAGTTGCTTTAGCCTTAAGCTTAAGTCAGGTGCTTGTAGTTCGATTTTAATCTTCTAAATAAAGCTTAATTACTTAGTTCAGAATTTAAAACAATTTATTTACTTTTATAACTTCTCTTAGTTTAAATTGCACAATATTCATCTACTTCATAGGCTACTGCATTAGAGACAACTACAGGGGCCCAATTTAGTACTTTGGGCGTTGGAGAATTTCCGATTGGTGGAGGCATTCTAATGCTAATTTTTGACACAGTTCTATACCTATTTCTCGCAATCTACTTTGATTCGATATTGCCAAAGGAATATGGCCAACAATATCATCCTCTATTTTGCTTTTTCCCTTCATTTTGGCTTGGAAAAAGTTCTAATTCTGAAGGAACTTTTACCATTCCTGAAAATACGAATGTACAAGTAGATGTGGAAGATATATCCGCAGATTTTCAAGGAAAAGAAGCCATTAGGTATTCCAGTCAGATAAAGATGTTTACTTGTGGAGTAGCTTAGCCTCACAAAACATGACTAATAATAATATTTAATACTTATTTTTTGTCGTTTACTGGGCTTTATAGGATCGCAGGCATTACCAAATCATTTACCGATACTTCATCGAAAGAAAAAAAAGAAGTTATAGCTGTAGATAGTAAGTTAATTTGTTTAGAATACAGTTAACATTTTAAAATCCGAAGTAAATTTAAATATTAGCTATATCAATTTTTTCTATTAGATTTCTGCTTTGATGTATACGAGGGTCAAATCACAGCTCTTTTGGGACATAATGGTGCTGGAAAGACTACTCTAATTGCTACATTGACTGGTCTTTTACCTACTACCAGGGGAACTGCATATATATATAATTATGACATAAACAAACCTGAAGAGATGACTAAGATCAGGGAGATTACCGGTTGGTATTTCCAGTTATAATTAATATATTGTTTTATTTATTTATTATGCTAGCTTATTCGTCGATATAGCTACTGTAAAATGCGTTGTTTGCCATTGTATGCTAGAATATCCTAAAAAATATTTTACTAGCTTAATCTATCATGTAAGATTTTCGACCTAATAGGTATCTAACGTAGCATTGAAACATTGATAATGTGGTACTCAATCAGTACTTTAATTCTTTTGTAGGTGTATGTCCGCAACACGATATCCTATTTGACTCTCTCTCGGCTAGGGAGCATCTGGTAGTATTTGCTACCATAAAGGGTATACCAAATGATCAAATCAATGCTGCTGTTGATAAAACCTTAGAAGACATCACGTTAATGGACAAGGCATCTACAAGAGCTTCTGATCTAAGCGGAGGTCAAAAACGAAAATTATCAGTAGGAATTGCAATTATTGGTGATCCTAAGGTACCTTCTACTTAAGAATCTTGATCTGATAAATTACAGTATAAAAACAATGCAATAAATACTTACATAGTAATTTGGGCTTTTGCTCTAACTTTGTTTTCTTTCCGAAGGTTATATATTTAGATGAACCAACAAGTGGAATGGATCCTTTATCAAGGCGACAAATTTGGTCGCTTCTACAGAACCGACGAGAAGGAAAAGTAACATTGTTGACTACTCACTTCATGGATGAAGCCGATATTCTTGCAGGTTACTGATGACGGTTCCTCTTGTAGCATTTATCTCATGTTGAAAGTGTATAAAAATACGCGTATAAGTATAACTACAGAATTTACCAATATTTACTATTGACCCTTTTCAGATCGCAAAGCAGTCGTTTCACATGGCAAACTACGATGTGCTGGATCTTCTCTTTATCTCAAGAATCGTTTTGGAATCGGCTATCATTTAGGTATGGTTACTACGGCCGATTGTAATATAGATAAAGTGACAGAGTTGGTCCATGAGCATATACCGAAAGCCTTATTACAGAGATATCATGCTAGCGAGTTATCTTATCTTTTACCGTTATCTGATGTTTCAAGATTTCCAGGTTAGCTAATGATCACCGTTAAGATCTGCTCTGTGTACAGCACAGATAACATGGTACCCTAGAATCATAATATATAATACGATCATGATATAAGTTACACCTTCGCAGTACGACATCACAATGCAGACCATTTAAGTGCGACAAACGATTTCAACAATTTAAATTTTTATTGATATATATAGACCTCTTTTCCCATTTGGAAAGTCCAGCTCATAATGAATTAGGCAGAACTTGTGCTGAAACCTGTGGTGTCTCAAGCTATGGAATATCTATGACCACGCTAGAAGAAGTTTTCTTGAGACTTAAAGATGATGATGTACCAAACGATTTAAGTTCAATGGCAAAATCGCCGTTGGAAACCAATAAAGATAATACGGATGGGCAAAGACCTAATGAAAGCATGTTTGACTTTAGAAACACTCGGCGTTTATCAATGAAAGAATTAATTCGACAACAATTCTTGGCATTACTAAGGATTCGATTCCTCGTTAACCGACGCGATCCATTAACTATCATATTTCGTGTAGTTTTACCGCCCGTGTTTGTAATTGTGGGACTAATATTCGCTAACAACATTGGAGGTAACACAATTGCACAGCGTGATCCTCCTACCTTACAACTTTCGTCGCAGCTTTACCTCAATGAGTCTAATATATCGCCTTCCAAGAATATATTTGCCGACTTGCTTATTAGAAATTCAACCTCTAGACCAATTAATACCTTTATCAATGATGTAGAAAAAATGAAACTTTATTACCAAATGAGTAATTTGTCAGCTGATTACTTACTAGATAACTATCCGCATACAATTGGTTATGATATCATGGCTTTCCAGAATACGTCAACAGTAAGCAATATTGCCTAACAAGCAGTAGTCATCTTTAATATAAATGATATTACATCACTGAAAGGGTGATTATACTATTTAAGCATTTTTATGTTTCTTAGGGAATAGCTTCCACATTAAATGTCCTTTATAACGATACGGCCGTACATAGTATTCCTGTTGCTATTAATCTTATCAACCAGATAAGGTTTGACAACGAAATGAAACGGCGTAAAGGTGTTAGTGGCAGTATCATTCATGTTTCTAGTAAACCTTTTCCACAAACCACAGCAGCCAGCAACTTTAACGGTGCTGCTTTTAGTGCACCTATTTTCATTGGATTAGCATTAAATGTCATTCCCGCAGGATTCGCTATAGAAGTTACCAGAGATAGGAAGGTATGCAGAAATCATATTATTGACATAAATTCTTATATTTATAATTTTGCGATCAAATGAGTAATCCTGACAGCCTTACGAATGTAACTTTTATGCAATATGTCCCATATCATATCAGGATCGAATTCGTCAATTGTTGAGAGCATCTGGTGTAACGAGCTCCACCTATTGGCTATCACTATTTACATGTGATTTTATCTCGTACCTCTTTCCGGTACTTTTGATGCTCATCATTATTCCTATCATGCATGTAGCCGCTTTTGTAGTTCCAGCTGCTATGGGAGTCCTATTTATGGCATCATTAACTTACATGCAATCCAATATCCTGCTGGCTTATGTTGCTTCTTTCTTATTTTCGTCGGTTGAGACATGTCAATCAGTTTTGCCTCCCGTATTAAATTTAGTGCGTATGCAGTAATTTAACTTTATTGCTTTATGTCATGAAATTCGTAAGGTTATTTACAAATGCTTTACTTATTTTCAATAGCTACTTTTATTACCGACTATTGGTGTCTCATTACTAGATATGCTTGGGCAAGCAAATGCCGCTTTAATATTACACTTTGTCATGCTAGCAATAAACCCTACATACCCCATCGGAGGAGCAGTATATTTTATTGGCCAGGTATTTTTCGCATTGATAGTAGCTACGTCGTTCTATTTATTTAATTATTGTAGCTACTTAATATTTTTAGATCTAGTAAAATGAATAGTTTATATTTACGTAAACTATACGTTGTAAATTGTGTATCAGTATTCATGTTCCAGTACTGAATTTATTCGTTTATCGTATCAAGCTATATATTAGGCACATTATAGTTCATCCTAAAGAAACAATTCCGCCAAGTGCCTACTTTAGTCCGTCAAGTCCAATCCCATACTGCATTCTATTGGTAAAGCAGCTGTGAATAATAACTATTGCCGTAAGCGATTAAAAATACGTATGTCTTAAAATTAACATCGTCCTCATATCGTCTCTTTTAGCCTATCATCCACGGTGCTTTCCTATTCTATTTGTTACGCTATCTCGATTACAGGAATACTGGAACATATGATGGTCGTGGACTGTTCGGGTAAAAAATTATTGATTGATATTTTTATTACACCCATATTGCTGTTTGATATAATTCAAGTTTTAATTTCAAAAAACGACTTTACAGCATTGGTGGTTCACCAACTCAACGTCCAGCATCTGGTTCGACAACCAGTGAAACGGCGGGATTGATTGGATCTGCGGCATCTATGTCTGAGGATGATGACGTTAGAGCTGAATATGATAGAATTTCAAAAGCGACAACATCAACCGATGTTCTTAAAGTGCAACGCCTTCGTAAAGAATTTTTGAAGCGTCCTGATGTTAGTGAAAAGAGCCAGCTATGTTGCGGTTCAAAGCCTGATAAGATAGTAAGCAAACGATTTGATAGCCAATGTAATAACATAATTTAGCCTATTTGACTGTGGTTTGCATTAATTGCATATTGTTTACTGGCATTATATCTTATGAGAAAAAGTAACATGCATCAGTAACTATACCTGTGTGCACTTATTTCATTTGATTTACTTATTTAAGAAGCCATTTGTAATATTAGTAATAATTGTTATTTATGAAATCAGGCAGCTGTAGAAGATTTGTATTTTGGTATCGAACATGGTGAAGTGTTCGGACTATTAGGCCCTAATGGAGCTGGTAAAACGACAACGTTGAATATCATTACCGGAGATATGGCTGCAACGAGAGGCGATGTATGTAAAAAATATAATTAAGTCCCTTTACGATTCTTTAGCTTATATTTACGGTCGTTTATTGAAAAATTGAATGGAACCGAAAGCTCTGGAGTAACGAGATTTTTCTTATTTAGGTTTCCATTGCCGGCTACAATTTAAGTAAAGATATAACTCAAGCGTTAAGGAGTTTAGGTTTTTGTCCTCAACATGATGCATTATGGGAGCGCATTACTCTATCCGAACATCTTCATACTTACGCGGCCATTAAAGGTGTTCCAGCCGATATGATTACTGAGGCTGTCAACAGGTATACAATCATATCGTACATGTAGATATGCATAGAATGCAGTGTTAACAATAAAGCAAAAAACGATTGCGTCCTAATTTAGTTACTGATCACTTTTTAGGTTTATTACTGGAATGGAAATTCAGGAACATGCTGAAAAATTTGCCAAAAAACTCTCTGGAGGAACCAAAAGAAAAGTAAAATGCTCTAGAATAAGTTACTATGTTAAAAAATAAGCAGAAAAAAGTAGTATCTATCGACCAAATTTTTAATATTCAATACGTTAACTGTGATTAAAACTTAGTTGAGTTTCGGAATGAGTATTATTGGATGCCCGAGATTATTGTTAATGGATGAACCTTCTACTGGAATGGACCCCGGTGCAAAACGATTCTTGTGGTAAACTGAACAGTCAGTAAATACTTATACAGTAAGCTAATTTAGCACTAATCTCTTGCTATTCATGTTCTTACAATTTTATTGGTCAGGAATTCTATTACCGCAAGTATTACCGATGAAACTGGAGCGGTAATTACTACGCATTCAATGGAGGAAGCTGATGCGCTATGCTCAAGAGTTGGCATAATGGTTCGTGGCCAGCTACGGTAAGAATTTTGCTTTGGATTTTATAGAAAATACAGCAGTACCGTAGATGCTTTCGGAATTGTAAGGTATTTTAATATAATTCAATCTTAATGCCGTATAAACAGTTGCTTGGGATCAACGCAACACTTAAAGAGTAAATATGGTGGAGGTTATCACCTGGAAGTTAAATTCTCTCCAGATAATATGGGAATAAATACCAATGGAGATCCATTACAGAGTGTTCACGAATTTGTTAAGAATACATTCCCTGCTGCTACGGAAGTAGAACATTTTGGCCATCGTATTATCTACAAGATTCCATCGTCTGACGTCAAATCATTAGCAAGATCTTTTGCTTGTTTAGAAGAAAGTCAGTGAATTATGCTATTATTTCTTTGTGCTGTTATGACCAAAGCATTAAATGAGATTTAATGATTTAAAACGAAATCGATATTTTAGGTAAAGCAAAGATCGGAATTGTGGAGTATAGTTTTAGCCAATCAACCCTAGAGCAAGTAAGATCACTACTGTAAACTATGGAATTGTAGATTTATGTTTGAATTTTATCATAAATGCTTTATTTCTATTATTGTAGGTGTTCTTAGAATTTGCTAAAAAACAAGATGAAGAAACTGACACAGAAGATTCTTCATCATCTATATCTATAGCTACTGGTCCTATGTTGGTTTAATGATGTTGACACAATACTGTATATTATTGTATTGCATTAGTATTTAACACTACTGCAAATATGGCTAGGAATTCCTTCTTGAAACCAAATTTCACATTGTTATTAAAGCCTCATAGTAAATACCTATAATAGGTTGTTATTATCTGTAACTTCATCTGAATGTCACGTTTGTAGCAATGAAATAATTCATCCTAAAATCAGTTAAGAGAATTTACGAAAAAAGATAAATAATTTTATGCTCTCTTTGCATCCATTAATTACTATATAGATGGTTTATGATGAGACTTTACACTTGATGTATGAACTAATATTTCAAATTTGTTATTTGTACGACTTTTGCAGCAAAAAAGTAAAATTTATTCACTTTTTGTTAATAAAGACTATAAAGATCCTAAAAGATCATGGCAGCTATTACTTATACTATTACTGAAATGAATAATTATGTTAACTTATAAAGCCAATGCACTAAATATTTTGTAAACAAATAATACTAAAGACGTAATACAATCGCTTTTCTACAGTGCATAGTAACTTTAGCCGGATATTATGCATATTAGCCGGTTACTATGCATACTAACCAAATTCGGGTTTTAGTCGTGATATATACTGGTAAACACCAGTATATCAAGGTGGATATTTTAGGCGATTAATAAACTGTGCTGTTGTCTGTACAGTACAATGATGTAATAACAGTTAGATTTCCGTTAAGAGCTCGCTGAGAGCTTATGAGTTGATCTCTATCATGGGGTACTGTGCAGTTATTGAAAATGACACTGCTGGATATCAATGAGATGTTATTTCTTGTTATTTTAGTAACAACTTGTAATAATTAAAGGATAAAATAAAATTATAACCGCATTATAACAGTAAGAGATTGAGCAATTAGTCTATTTTGGATGATCTGTATTAAGATCAAATTACGCATACACTAATATGGATGCACGAATAGTAGTAACAACTTGTTTTGGCCATCATTGACTTAAAGATAATAAAAGTATAAACATATTATAACAGCAAGAAATTGAACAACTAGTCTATTTTAGATAGCTAGTATCAAGTTTGACGAATATGCTTTTCGCTTATGCTTGAGTTTTAACTCCAATTTTTCATTTTATATTTGATGAAAATCAACGTGTCTTTATTTTCTTGCTTCCCGGACAATTTTTATCACTTCTTCCGCTGTTTTTGCTCCTAGCTTAGCAAACTCACTAACATCTTTGACACGAACTTTCAATTCACCAAAAATCCTCGATCTACTGGGATACTTCTAAATTCCACAGCTGATATACGCGTATACCGAAAATACACGTAAAATCCCAGATAATTACTGTCCAGTTCTGTTAAATGAGCACATTATCGTAAACCGTCAGTAAAGCGACGGGAGCTTGCACTAATATATATATATATATTATACAGTATGAATGAATGGGTAAGAGTGTTCCACATAGCTAAAAATGGAGAGTTACTGTAAGACTAGAGAAATGCGGTATGTATATCAGTATATGTCATACACTCTACTACTACACAGTACACGGTATAAAGTTACTGAACCTCTGACAGGTCTACGACAAATGGTAATACTATCTGTTAAATGAGCAGATTATCGTAAACCATCAGCAAAGCGACGGGAGTTTGCACTAGTATGATTTGATAAGATCGGAATAATTGTGATAAAGAACTGATAATTTAGTTTTATTGCTATATCGGGATAACAGCGATCAAGGATTTGATAGCTGAATTTTGAATGACTTCTCATACATAGAAATAGCCTCTTCATGCTTGCCTTGTTTATCATACACATTTCCTAGATTGTTATATGATCGAGCAACATCGGGATGATTATGACCTAAGACTGACGATGTAATTTTGAGTGACTTTTCATACATAGAAATAGCCTCTTCATGCTTGCCTTGATTAGAATATACAGCTCCTATGTTGTTATATGATACGGCAACATGGGGATGATTATGATCTAAGACTGACAATGTAGTTTTGAGCGACTTCTCATACATAGAAATAGCTTCTTCATGCTTGCCTTGATCTAAATATACAGCTCCCATATTGCTATATAATGCGGCAACATCAGGATGATTATGATCTAAGACTGATAATGCAATTTTGAGTGACTTCTCATACATAGAAATA